CGCATCAGCGTTTGGTGGTGGTGGTGCATCAGCCAGTCCCGCAGCTCCCGGCTTCCCTCGACGAGGCGCGCCAGCGTGCCGCACAGTCGGCTGATGGCGAGGCCGTCCAGCTCCACGCTCGCCTCAAGCGCCGCCACGACGGCGCGACATGCACGTGTGCCCTTCTGGTAGTGCGCCAGACAGCAATCATCAAACACCGTCTTCGCCATGGCCCGCGCGGCGGCCTGCACCACATCACAGTCACTGCGGAAGCCCTCCAGGATGTCCACGAGGAGGTCGAGGGAGCCCAGCTTGCGCAGGTGGTGCGAGTACTGCGTGCTGAGGTTGCGATACAGCAGGCAGAGTGGGGGGAGGAGGGCGTGGACCAAATTATCGCTTGGCGTGCGTGCCTTGGAAGGTGTGTCGCACGTGGAGGACAGGATGCGTTTCACCAACGTGTTCGTCGCGGGAATCATTCCCAGTGTCACCAGTTGCGTCAAAATCACGTCACTGTTGGCACTGCAGCAGCGCAGCGTTTCTAAAACATCCCACAGCACACCAGGCTGACGCTTCAGCAGCTCGTCGCTTTCAAGAAGCTGGAGCAATGGTTGAATGAGGGACTCACGCATGATCATCACCTCTAAGAGTCGCACTTCGAGACCGCCCTCACACAGCTCGTGCAGACGGCGCACAACAACAGGGATGACAGGGGATTTATTCACATCGCCGCTACGAAGAAACACCGACGCCGCACACAACGCAACTTGTGCATCAGTGGATGGCGACAGCACCAACTCTACTAGCCGGCTCACTGCTGTATCCCACAAGACGTGATGGGGGTTGGCCAGCCAGTGCTTCAGCTCTCCAAGTCTTTGCATCTGCGCCTCCGGCACGCCCTTGGCCGCTTCCAGGGCGGCGTCAAACGCCGCGCGGTCGAACTGTCGCGCGCTCGGCATCACCTGCGGCTTCTCCGACGACGCGGCGGAGATCATCGTGGCGAGACGGCTGCCGTGCCTCAACGGCAGCGGCGCCGGCAGAATGAGAGGTGTATCTGGGCGCTGCTGTGCCTGCACCGACGCACGGGCATCGTGAAGTAGGCGGCTTACGCGCGAGCCCACGACGGCAATATCCGGTTTTGCTCTCAGCGGCGGAGGCGCTGGCGGCCGCCTGAGGACACACGCCGCCTTCTTGCCAGTTGGCCTCTGTTGGGGATTCAGCGGCATTTCGCTGTTGTCTAATGCCCACTCCTTGTATATATATATATATATATATATGTCTGTGTATTTACAAACTCACGCCGCTGTTACTATTCCTTAGCAGCACCAGTTGCCTCTCCGCACTTCCGAAGCACCCGCAGCCCATCACCAAATGACACAAAGAAAGGAAGGAGACGATGCATAAAAAGGGGGGTTAGAAGAAAATGGACATCGGGCATGCATACACCGCAGAGCCGCGCTGCTCTCACTGCTGCGTATTTCGCTGAGAAAGAGGAAGGTAAGACCCCTCACTCCTCTATATCGATGATTTTCTTCATTTCTTCCAGCACATGGAGACGTGCCTCGTCGCGAAGCAGGAGCATCCCCTCGCCTTCGCCACCGTCCCACACCAGATCACTATTCCCCCTGTCGCCCTCTGTCCCCTTCCCAAACCACCCCAGAATCTCAGGCTCTGTTGCAGACATGAGCCGACAGCAAAGATACGCCGCACACGCCTTGCTCAAGTGACTGTGCCCCACAAAGTCCGCAGCCACCATCAGTTCCAGAAGCAGATCTTGTGACTCCAGGCCCCACGTCTCACCCGGGCCGACGCAGTTGTCTAGGAAGGCAATGTCGCATGGCGACAGAATGGCACGCACGTCGTACCCCAGTCCAGCAGCACTGGTGCTGCAGGTGCACGAAATGGGAAGCTCAACCTCCTGCTGGTGTTCTTCCCGGTGCACGGCGTAGTGCTGCATGTACGCCACCAGGCAGCGCAGCGTCGATGTGCTCGCGACCGGTACAACGCCTTCCTCCTCGCCGATACCGGCCGCCGCCTGCAGCCACATGGACTGGGACGTTATGGCGGGGTCCAGTGTAATCCCCACTGCTTCACCCGTCGCTGAGAGAAGCGCAAAGCCACTCATCATAGAATAGGTTGTGCGCTCGCCCCTAATAAAAGAGAGACAGGGGGTGGTGGGTGGGGATCAAATGGCAAGAAGTGAAAGGAAAAAAATATATCAAGGAGACGTGGCTCAGAAAATAGAATCAGGGCCACGCCCATCAGATGCCTACACGAGGCATCTTATGTTTTTTGTTGTTGTTGTTGTTGTTGTTGTTCTGCTGCTCGTTTAGCACAAGCCCAACAATAATAACAACAAGAAATGAGTGAAGTGAGCTCCTGGGAGTCATCGGCACGTCGATGTGCAACAAAAGAGCGAGAAGGAAGAGGTAAATATCCACTGCTACCAGGTAATGACCTCGCTGAATCATCGCAATTTGACCCACAGTGGATTACTGAAGGAGAAAGGTTGGGACACACTATTTTTGCCCATCATAAGAGGTGTGTCAGAAGTATTACAGCACGCAAATGCCTAAGAACTTAAGTCATGAGTGGAAACATCGAAATTGTGTCTTTCACTGCATGTTATTGCAATTCGTCACATATTCTGTTTCTTTTTTTCGTTGAATCCGGCTGCACTTTGTTGATCTTTCTTTCTTTTCTTTTCTTTTTTTTTTAAACATGAAAATCAATATACCGTTAGCGCGTTTGTCATTTTCGCTTTCGCTTTCCTATTTGATTTTTTTTTCTTGGCCTTCTCCTGGTGGACAGGTGCACGCCCTCCGCTCCCCCCTCCTCTCTGCGCGCCTTGTTCATCCCAGATGCAGCCGTGTCCATCACGCGATGCCCATTGCCTGCTGAATCTTGTGGATCCACTCGTCCGCCTCCTTGCGGCTGGGTGCCTGGAACCACAGCGGGCGCTGCTCTCGCACGTTGATGGCAAATACGCCGTCCATCTTCGCGGTTTGGAACGGGACCGGCACGACGCTGGCGACGGCGTTAACGGACAGCGGCTTCGCCTCCCGCTCGCCTTTGCGGCGGCTGATGACAAAATGGCCGTCACGCAGTACGAGGAAGCGCTCCTTCCACTCCTTGTTGCTCTCCTTGCGGACATTACCCTCGTGAAATATCGATGTGCAGACTTCCCCGACAGGCCCAACGTACGCAGGGCCGCTGTCGCTATTGAGGACCTCGTCGACGTTCTGCAGTATTTGTTTCTTCGACGCCTCCGTGATGTGCGGCGACACCGAGACGCTGAACTTGAAGTCCTTCAGCAGCCGCACCATGTACGGCATCTTGCACAGCTGCGCCATCGACGGACGCTTGTTGGGGTCCTCCTGCAGCAGCTCCATGCAGACACCACGCAGCTCAGGACTGAACTTCGCCGGGAGCGGCACCGACACCTTCCCCAAGAGCACGGACTCCATCAGCAGCCGCATGCCTTTCCCCACGAACGGGCGGCGCAGGGCCATCATCTCGTACAGCAGAATGCCAAGTGCCCACACATCCGCCTTCTTACTATACCGCTGGCGCCGCCACAGCTCGGGCGCGAGGTAGTACGGCGTGCCGCAGAACGTCTGCGCCACCTCCCCTGACACCGTCACCTCGTACATGTGGCTGAAACCAAAGTCGCCCAGCTTGACGATGCCGTTCGCCATGAGCATTACGTTCGCCCCTTTCACGTCGCGGTGGAGCATGCGGTTGCGGTGGATGTGCTCGAGCGCCATGGCGAGCTGTACAAATGTGTAGCCGACCTCGTGCTCCTCAAAGTAGTTCATCCCCTCGCGCTCCCGAAGCTTAATCTGCGCGTTTAAGTCGCCGGCATCGGCGAACTCCATGATGATGAGCATAAAGTTGTCCTCCGCGAAGTCCTCAATGTAATTTATGATGGCGAAGTGTTTGCACGCCGCGAGGCACTGTATCTCCCCTGCGAGGTACTTCTTGTCCTTGTCGGACATGGACGTGAGGTCCATCTGCTTTGCCACGAGCAGCTGGTCGTCCGCCATGCGACGAACAAGCCAAGCCTCGCCGAAC